GCGAAGGAGCGCGCGTGCGCAGACGCACTCCCCTCAACCCGAAGTGCCTTCTCGTCCAATCCTGGCCGGGGCCCTGCTGTTTTAACCCCCGCACAGCTGGTAGGGAGAGACATTTTTTTTCAGGCCGCTTTGCCCGGCGATCCCCTCGCTGCCAGGAAGACGCGGCGCGATTGGTTGGTTAGGTAAATGAGATGCAAATAAATGCATCTTTCAGTCATCGCCATCATCTCAGAGCTGCAAAGAGGCCCAGTGGGAGAATCGAACTACTGTACTGTACCCACCTCTGCCTAAACCACAACTATCTAGCAGTAATGATGCTGCTCCTTTTTCTTTTTTACTGGAACCATGTGTTAATTTTAATGCTGTGAGCCGTCAAACCCAAGTTTTCCAAGAGATTTAATCAATCTTACTTCAAGTTTGTATGTGTATTATAATGCTTTTTTAAAAAAGTCTTGGTAGAATCACTTGTTTTTTTAATATGCACATGTATTAAGTTTAATTAAGGCTGCAATCATATGCATTCTCACCTGAGAGGAATTCCCATCAAGCTGTCCAAGACCTATTTTTAACGTATACGTTTATAGGATTTTACAATGAAGTTTCTACTAAGATTCATCTGGTCATGTACCAGCCTTACAGTATTTTCATCTCACCCTCCCTGTTACACTTTGCTGCATTGTAGCCATTAATCCATCTTTGGTCATTAAGGTTTGTTTTTTTTTTAAAGAAATGCTGACACAGGCACATTGGGAAGTAAGAGCAATAGAAACTCATTTTTTTTCTTGTACCCATCGTTTTTTGCCTAGTGGGGGGAAAAAGGGAAACCTGGGATAGGGGACAATATAGACTTGGAGTAGAATCTTATAAAGCATTTTCACTTTTAGAATAGGGAAGTGAAATACTGTACTTTAAGGTAAGGTTTTAAAATATACCTTTTACTTTTCTCATTATTTGGGGGGAGGTTGTTTTTTAATTACCAAGTATTAAGTAGGACAGACTATGACATTAACAGCATAGTGTCCGCTCCCCCAATGTTCCTCCAACGTTTTGTTTTTCCTACTGAGAAAAATGAAAATAAATAATATCAACTGGAAAATAGAGTGGGAGTCTCTGTGTCCTTAAAGCCGAACTTTCCCATTTTCTTTCCAGTCTTCCCCATGGATAAGAAACGTGATCAAAGAGGGATTAGCTAATAATGGTATGAAAAGAAGCAAAATATGGCAGGGGGAGTGGGATTAAAAATCAGGTTGACACATGTTCAAAAAAAATATTCAAGTCCAGTCCTGAGGGTGTCTATTAGGGCAGGCCCAACCATTAGACAAAATGAGGTGGCTGTCTAAAAGTGACAGAAGCTGGTGAGTGGAGAATAGAACAGACATTTTGCCAGTCCTATGCCCTCTAAAATAGCTTGCCATCCTACGAGAAAGTAGGGAACACTGTTCTACCACAGGGGTTGGTACAAATGCCCATCTTTCCAGTTTCAGGACATGGAACAAAAGCGGAGGAGAGTGCTTTTACGACTCGCCCTCCTGCAACATTTTTAAGCCAGTCCTGATGTCTACTCACCAAAGCTAACCCATACAGATCTAGAGCGAGATTACTTGGTGATAAATACATTCAGGTCAAGTGCTTGGGCTGCAGTCTAATCTATACACATCTACAATTTAAACTGTGTTTTCTTAATCTAGACAAAAAATGCATCATTTAGGATTATTGCAAACAATTTGAATGAAAGATCCTTGCTTTGTTGAGTCATTCATAATCACCTCATGGAGTTCAAGTCTTTCATACTGTGTCTTCATAATACTGACTCTGGAAGTTGTTTCTAAACACAAACAATAGGCTCTTTTTATTTGTTTCCTACTTTTTTTCTCCTTCTCCTTATCCGCCCAACTGGCAAAATCCGCCTATGCTTGCAAACAATTTGAATGAAAGATCCTTGCTTTGTTGAGTCATTCATAATCACCTCATGGAGTTCAAGTCTTTCATACTGTGTCTTCATAATACTGACTCTGGAAGTTGTTTCTAAACACAAACAATAGGCTCTTTTTATTTGTTTCCTACTTTTTTTCTCCTTCTCCTTATCCGCCCAACTGGCAAAATCCGCCTATGCTTGGTATTCTAATATGTCTTCATAATATTGACTCTGGAAGTTGTTTCTAAGCACAAACAATAGGATCTTTTTATTTGTTTCCTACTTTTTTTTCTTCTGCTCCTTACCTGCCCAACTGGCAAAATCCGCCTATGCTTGGTATTCTAATCTAAAATACATCTCTGACCATACTTTGGTTTTTTTAAAAAATAAAACATCCTCTCAATTAAATGAATATCGCAAGCAATGAAATTTTCTATGCACAGGGGTAGTGTAATTCTTCAAGCCCTAAAGTTAACTTCAGAACTGATTAGGAAATAAAACTGCATTCACGAACAGGGAACAACAACAACAACAACAAAACCTCCTGACGGCCATGCTTATATATATGCACAAAACTTTCCAGAAGCCCCTGTTATCTCTCGTGCACCTTCCCCTCAGGTTCTCCCCGGCCCCATAGCTTCCAACTGTCTGGAAACTGGACAATGTTCTCCCTCCCACTCGTCCCCCACCCCCTTACATCGGACATACTGTGTGGCAGAGACGCCGGCGCTTTCCAGGCTCCTGCAGGATCACCGCTTTTAGGGGGTTCCTCGCGAGAAGGAGTCTTCCCCCAGCCCCCCCCCCCCCCACAGAGCGGGCTCCGGCGTCTGGATTTTCCGACGCCCGATCGACTTGGCCAGCAGCACTGATCCGGATTCGTGATCCCGATCTTCCCGCAGATCGTGGGACTACATTTCCCAGCATGACTGGTGGGTCTGGGAAGTGGCTCTCGTGTGATTTCCACACACACACAGACATCAAATTCGGAAGAAGTTTTGTTGGACCAATGATCCCATTCCCCCCCCCCTTCCACCTCCACTCCCCTGCGCTTGGGAAGGGTGGAAGCCCGGGCAGGACGGCTTAGAGGCACGACGCAAGACAAAGGGAGCTGGCCTTTCTTTGCTGGGTGGTTCTTCCCTCATGACCGCTCGGCGGCCAGGCAGCGCTTCCCTCGCCGCTCTCGGAGGACGCGCCCGGCGAGGCCGAAAGGATGCCTGACTGGTAGAGCACACGCCGCGCCGTCCCTTAGTTTCTCCGGGCATCCCCCCTCTCCAGCGCCGCTCTCCCGTTGCTCTTCCGCCCGGCCTCCGGCGTCGGTTCTGTTCTGCTGCTGCTGCGAAGAGGAAGCCCTGTAAATGTTTAGCCTTTGGCTGCCTTCCCTCTCGCCTTTGGGGACCTTCCTTCTTCTGGCGCTCTGCGCATCAGCGGGAGGCAGCCAGCTCAGTCCCGAGCGCAGCTTGATATGGGGACCCGGCCTAAGAGCAGATGTGGTCCTCCCAGCGCGGTACTTTTACATCCAGGCTGTGGACACTGAAGGGAAGAGGTAAGGAAAATGGATACCTTTCTTCAGGTAACAGCTCGAAACGCCTGGAAGGGCGAGGAATTGACAAAGGAACCCATCAGTCTGGCTTTTGGGGAGCAGAAAAATCTTCAGTGCATAGGAAAGAGCCCATACAATTAAAAACGACGACAACCTGTAGCCTTGAACAGAGGAGGGGGCATGCCCAACATTAGGAAACATCAGAGACAGATTTGCTTCCGAGTAGTAGAGAGAGTGATGTTGGGAAAGGTGGAAGGTAGCAGGAAAAGAGGAAGACCAAATATGAGATGGACTGACTCCTTAAAGGAAGCAACAGGCTCCAGCTTGCAAGAGCTGAGCGGGGCATTTTTCGAGACTGCTCATTCGTAGGGTCACCATAAGTCGGAGACCACTTGACAACACATGACAACAACAAGAGAGACTTATTAGAGAACGGTAGCCCATCATACCTATCTGACTGGATGTAAAGGTGAATTGATCAGATTTGTGGCTTTCATGTTTCAACTTAGATCAGTAATACACCTAAACATGCATATTACTGGTGGGGTCCTGAAAGTTGCCCTCATTGCATGAATGCAGCAGAAGCACCTTTGCTCTTGCGTTGTTTGCCTGTAAAGTATTCTGCATGGGAGCAAAAATGGGACAATACGCCCGTTTTGACATGTCACCCTTTTCCTCAATGAATTAAGGTGTCCCTCTCCTGAACCTTCAGTTACCTGTGTGCATTGTTGCCACTTTCTCAGGCTGACAGCATGTAATTTTGCACTTGTATGTGTGTTCAAATTGTGTGTTCTATGCTGTCAAGTCAATTCCAATTTATGATGACCAATTTAGTAGGGTTTCCAGGGTATGTGAGATCAAATTACACTTTCAGAATTCTATTGTTTAGCTTTAAATTTTGTTCTATAACTTTTGCTAATGCTCTCTGCTTGTGTTTGATTTTGTGATGCCTTGGATAGCCTTGGTGGTTCTTTGGGAAAAAAAATATTTGCAACTCTCTTTTGGCTTCAGTCCTAACTAGGCTGCATACATTAACTTCAGCTATTTAATTGTTTCCAGCATGGTAGCTTAAGAGTGTAGTGTAACTGATGTTGGGGGCTTGGACTTTATGAAGTCTTCCATTTTTCAATTTTATCTCAGATTTATCTGAATTGAATACTGATACACTTGCTTTAAAAAAAATAACCAGGTGTAGAAAGAGAATCAGTCATGTATTTGCATGAAACACTAAATAAAAGGACTTTATCAATAAAGAAAGGTGAACAAATGCAGTAATATTAGCAAAAGAAAAGTAGAAAAAGAAAAGACAAAGAGATCAAGCACTGTAAAGACTAACAGGTTTATTTCAATGAGTTTTTGTGGATACAAATCCACTTGGCATTTACCGGTAATTCCGTTAATCTTATTTGAGCTGAACTTCTCTGAGATCCAGAAATACTTTAACTCCAGAAATACTTTAAGACTCACTTATCTATATGTTTATAAATCTCAGATACAACATATTGTCTTTTCTTTTCCCATTTTCCTTTTTTCAACATTACTGCTTTTGTTCACCTTTCTTTAACGATCAAGTCCTTCTGTTATATTTATCTACAGGTTTGAGGTCTGGATAGCTCAGCAAGTTAAGTGTGGGAGTTTGATTCCCCACTGTTCCTCCTATGGGTAGAGCCAGCCTGTGTGGCCTTGGGCAAGCGGCACAGCCCCAGAATGCCCCCAGAAGAAGGGAATGGCAAACCACTTCTCAGTACGCTTTACCTGAAAGCCCATGAAAAGGATCACCATAAGTTTAAATTGGCTTGATGGCCCTTTATATTTTTACTATTATTATAAATAAATTTATTTAATCATTCATATTGTTTTTCGTATTGCCCATTTTATTTCAACATTTGTATTTTCTTCCTTCCTTGTTCAGGTTTACTGTTTCTCCAGGTGAAAATGCATTTCAGGTGAAGATCACAGCCCCAGAGGAGCAGTTTACGCGAGTAGGAATGCAAATCTTAGACAGGAAAGATGGCTCCTTTATCGTGAGGTATAGAATGTATGCAAGCTACCAAAATCTGAAGATCGAGGTTCAAGCCAAGGGAAAACACGTTGCCAGATCGCCATATGTTTTAAAAGGTACAAAGAGGGCATGGTGTGATCACATGGTAATCTGAACGCAAATTGTTTGTAAAACAGTAATGGGCAATGCTGTAGTTCTTCCCCCTGGGTTCAGGCTTCAGAACAAAACTGGAACGCTCTACTGGGATTGACATTTGCTATCAAAACACAAGCCTGTATCTTGGATGTTCCTTCTGATCTTTGAAGTGGGAGAGACCTGTGTATACCATGAATTCCTCCCACCCCATCTTAAGCGAGCCCTTTGGAGCAGTGGTTAAACTGCAATGCTGCATTCATGCCTCTGCTCCCAATCTGAGTTCAGTCCTGATAGATTCGGGTAGCTGGCTCAAGGCTGACTCAACCTTCCATTTTTTCCAATGTCAGTAAAATAAGTACTCAAGCTCACTGGGATGCAAGGTGTCCCCAGCTTAATTATGTTGTAAACAGCCCAGAGAGCTCTCTAGCACCATGGGGAAGTAATAACAACAGTAATAACTCTTATTATCTGCCAGTGTAGGGGCACTGATATAATTCCAAGGCAGAAGTAAGGATGCATCCAGATTATATGTCCTGTGCTGGAATTCCAGGATCACCTTTGTTCATAACAGATGGGCTCATTCCTGGGCCTTCACTGACTGTACAAACAAAAGGGTGAAACTCTGGGAGACAGTGTTAACTGGACTGTGTCTACTTGCAAGGAGACTGCTTGCCTGCCGATAGAGAAAATACATATGTATCATTCTGCAGTGCAACAATGAAAACTTTTTGTAGTTGTTTTGATTTCCATTGGCTCCAGAAAAAAAAACTGTCCTGCCAGGCAAGCGTTTGGAAAACACAGTGATACACCTATATGAGAAGCCAATGACTCTTGTTAAAAAAACAAGTCAAAGGTTTTGTTTTGTTTTGCATGCTTCCAGAATAGGTAGCTTGTTTCTCTTATTCTGCAGCATCAGGGCTTTTATTGCATTTAGATAGATGATGGGATATTTAAAACACTTTCTGTGAAACACATGATGTAAATTCTATGTTTGTGAATATAAAATAAGACTATGTAAAATATAACAAAGGCATCAAATGAATGTTACAGAGAAACCTAAGTTCATTTCAGGGTTACATTAGGTAATAAAGTCACCACATCACCCATAGAGGTCCTGTATGGAAAGGTTATCTGTATATCCTAGCATAAGTTTTCCATGCTTCTACATTTTGCAAATTAGCTTGCTTTTATTTTGTGACTGGTTGTTAGAAGGCAAATGTGGGCTTAATTTGTAAGTCTGATTGCTTGGCCACACAGCTTTGAAGAAACTACCTTTCTGGAGGGAAAACATTTTATCAGCTTCTGCTAGGCTGACTTTAAATCTCACTGGTTTCAGTGCTAGACATGGTTGATGTTGGCAGGATGGCATCTCATATTTGTTAATACATCTCAGGGGCCACATTCCTCAAGACAGGAGTTTGAACGGAGGAGTAACTCTGAGCAGCCTTGGAGATCAGGTTGAACAAAAGCAATCTATAAATAATCCAGGAAAAAAAGTATTGAACAACACCTGACTGTGGTCAGCCATTCAAACTGTTCCAATAAGAAACAGCTTCATCACCATTGCAGTTGTTCCTTATGAGGAAAATAGCAGCAAGGCAGTGGGCATTCTAACTGGGCAAACAACACAAGAGCAAAAAGTGAACCCGCTGAGCACTTCATTTGAAGTCAGTTCAGGGACACTTGTACGCTAGTAATTTTGAAAAGTCCAAAAGAGATGGATCTCCAGCAGCACACCTAGCTGAATTTCCCAGCTCCTGTCAGAGCAACTGGCATTGCTTTTGGTAGACTACGCTGGGGAGCCATGCTGTCCTGAGTCAGGCCCAGCCTTAGCTGGTGGGGGGCGGGGAACAGTTTTGAATACATAACTTTTTTTACTACAACTCCTGGGAACCCCAGCTAGCATGGCTTCTGGGGATTCTGGGAGCTGTCCAAAAAATCCCAAAACTTTCCCAAGTTCTCCTGAGAATCGTCCTTGTTAACAATATCTTGCTCCAAAAGGCCACCAACAGGTCCAGTGACTCTAGATATTTCTCAGGCTCAGACTTTATAAAAGCTTGAAGAGAAAGGAATGTGTGGGGAACCGGCCGAAAATCTTCAGTATGTTTTTGCTACTCGTATGTATAGAAGATAATGGTAATGAGAGTTTTCTTACTTTATCATCATGTAGTTCTAAGGCAACCCAGGTGAGAATGGTATGGTTTCATGTCATCCTAGAAGAGGGGGGAAGAAAGGGATCTATTCAAGGTAATTTGATCTAATTATTGTATTTGATCCAGGTAATCTACAACTTCTAATGCACATTTTAAAACATGTATGTTGTGTGCAGGGCCTGTCTACCATGAGAACTGTGATTGCCCTCAGGAAGATGTGAATGCTTGGCTGAAAGAGATGAGCTGCCCAGACACTATAGCTCAGATTCAGAGAGATTTGGCCCAGTTCCCCACTGTCGATCTGGATAAAATCACCAAAGAAATTCCACAGCGGTTTGGACAGAGGCAGAGCTTGTGCCATTATGTCATAAAAGACAACAAGGTATACTCTGGGTAGGGTCATTCTTGATAGATGTGTCTGCATGTGATAAGAAGATCACTGTTAAATAATGGAGAATTAATGTTTTTCTAGGGCCTGCATGCAATTCCTTCAGGGTTTAGATAAGCCAGGAGAGGTATCTAGACATCTACATTTATGTATTCAAAGTATTTGTTCATTGCTTTCTTTGGCTTCCAAAGTGATATGCAGTGAAATATGTTCAAACGTTCTTTAGAAGCCATTCTAAAAACCAAAGGCCATATGGAATAACACAGTTCTGCATCTCCCCCTCTCGCATCTGGCAACCAGTACTTAGAAGAACAATGAAACCGGTAGAGTGCAATGGAAGAGGAGAGAGCTAGGAGAAATACTCTCAAATCTCAGTGGAATTGATTTCACTTCTGGCCATGTGACTAGTAAGCAACCTGAAGCTACAGAACTCCCTGCTCAAAGAGGCTAAGTTGGCTCCCTCCCTGTCGTCCTTCCTCCAGCCAGCAAAGATTTCATTATTAGACAGGCCTTTAGGTTCCTCTGAAAGGCACTGTTATTTAGATGGGTATTCTAGATGAGATGTGGTGGCGCTGCGGGTTAAACTGCAGAAGCCTCTGTGCTGCAAGGTCAGAAGACCAGCAGTCGTAAGATCGAATCCACATGACAGAGTGAGCACCTGTCGCTTCTCCCAGCTCATGCCAAGTAGCAGTTTAAAAGCATGTAAATGTGAGTAGATAAATAGGTACAGTGGTGCCTCGCATTACAAAGTTAATTCGTTCCAGCGAAATCGCTGTAGAACGAAAACGTCGTAATGCAAAAATAAAAAGCCCATTGAAACGCATTGAAACCCCTTCAATGCGTTCCAGTGGACTGGGAACTCACCGTCCAACGAAGATCCTCCATAGGGTGGCCATTTTCGGTGGCTGTCTTGCGAGGAATCTGTCCCAGAAAACAGCGGGGAGCCATTTTATTTACCTGGTGGCCATTTTGAAACCGCCGATCAGCTATCCGAAAATCGTCATTTTGCAAAGAATCAGTTCCTAAAGCAGGGAACCGATCATCGCAAAGCAAAAAAAACCCTATTCAGACCATCGTTTTGCAATCGCAATTGCGATCGCAAAAAGATCATCGTAATGCGGTTTTGTCATAATGTGGGGCAATCGTAAAGCAAGGCACCACTGTACCACCGTGGTGGAAACACTGGCTCGTTCTGCATCTCATCACGCTGACCACGGAAACTCTCTACAGACAAACACTGGCTCTCGTCACACTGACCACGTGACCACAGAAACTCTCTACGGACAAACACTGGCTCTACGGCTTGGAGACAGGGATGAGCACCGCACCCTAGAGTCAGACACGACTGGACTAAATGTCAAGGGAAACTTTTACCTTTACCTTACTCTTATTTTATCAATGTGTTTTTAATCTGTTTTGTGTGTTTTGACTGCATGTGTTGCATTTTATTTTATTATTATTTTATTTTATTATTGTTACTACCTTTGAGTGATATCCTTTCAGAGGAAAGTGAAATATACATACAATAAATCATGGACCATCGCCTGTGGCCCTCCTAATGTTGTTTGACTGCAACTCCTAGGAGCCCCTGGCCATGTAGCCACCAACGAGAGATCATGGATATTGCAGTGCAGTAAATTTCTGTAGGCTGTGCTGTGGTACACAGAGGCAAACTTAATAGGATGCTGATAGACCCCCATGAATTTCTCTAACCCTATTTTCAAAGGCTGTCTATCACAATGTTTATCACTGTGCCCTGTGGCAGTAAATACTGCATTAATTATATACAGGCTGAACTCAATTAATAAGCCACATCTGGGATAGGATCATTGGATCAGTGGAGATTAGGAGAGTCAGCTCCTCTATCAACTCCTTGGATTCAATAGGCATGCTCTAGTAATGAGTTACTACTGGATTTTGGCCGTGTGTAAAATACGAATGTTCGCCATGAAAGTAATATGCTTTCTTTCTGGAAGAGGATGATAATAGTAATAACCAGGAAGAGGCCTTAAAAAGAGGACCCTTCAGTTCTCCACATGTTTTGCATCATAGCTCCCTCGATCCATGGCCATTGGTCACACTGACTGGTGCTTATGAAGCCCAAAACATCTGGAGAGCCGTAGGTTTCCCACTCCTTTGTTAATCACTGTTCACTAGAAAAATAGCCATGCTAGCTGGAAGTTTCTGCTGGTTGTAGTCCAAATGCATACATTTGCAAAGCTCAGGCATTGAACACCTTTCCAGCACATCTGGGAATTGGCCTCATCTTCTGAGGACTGAATCCTGATACTTCCTGCTCCAGTCACAGAAATAGCAACATCAGTGGGGGAGGGGGGGACAGAAAAACCTTCTGCTTTCTCCACCAGTGTTACTATTTCTCTATAAACCACCCATAAGCAGCTTGCGAATGGAGCAGGAGATATCGTCCCTGAGATTGCTGGATAGCTCAGTAATTTAGGTTTCCGACTGTGAAGCCAGAGGTTGGGAGTTCGATTCCCCACTTTCCTTCGTTGACAGGGGGCAGACTTGATGATTCATGGGGTCTCTTCCAGCTCTGCAGTTCTAGAATTAATATTATAAATTTTGGGGACTCATTTCTCACATGAGCTGCCCTGATTCTGCTTAATGCCATGAAACATACCAGTTCTGTATGGCAAATCCTTACTTGAATGCTCCCAGTTAGAATTCACTGAAGTAACAATGTAGGAGGAGGAGAAGTTATGGGCGGCCATAATTTTTTAGTCATTCTAAGATTTCTTTTTGAATGAAATAAGCAAATAAGTCATTCAGCTATGTTTGCGTTGTCTTAGGTTTATATAAAGACCTATGGGGAACATGTAGGCTTTAGGATTTTCATGGATGCTATCCTGCTTTCTCTGACAAGAAAAGTGAGTATATGTCTTAAATATATTTTGTCCAAATCTTATTTATTTCTGTTTTACCTTATGTTACATTTATTTTCCTCATCTTCTCCTATATATGGTATCCAAAGCACTGTAAAAACAAATGGTGAATAAAAAAAACACATGTTAAAACCTAGAAAAGCCAGTAAGAGTTTTCAGAGAGAGCCAGAGAAGCAGCATCAGCTGCAGGAGAAAAAGCTTGCCAGAAAGGCTACCTATTGTCCTCTGAGTAGCTAACCAAGATGAGGCCACCAGTGGGATGGAAGTGAAAATTAATGGGGAAGAAAATGAACCCTGCAGACCTTTAGAGATTAAGTCCTTCCTGCAAAGCATTGCAGCAGCCACCATTCATCACTGCAATATCTAGCAGGACTAGAACTGTTAGAAAATGCTACCCCTGTCCAAGAAGTGCTAAGGCACTCCAAAACATGAGCAGAGTTTTGTGGCACCCTGAAGACTAGCAAGTCTGTTAGAGCATGACCTTTCATGGACCACACTCCGCTCCAGTATCCACAGTTGCAGATGAAAATGTAGACCATGAGGTCAGAAGGACATTAAATGCAGGAACTCTAGTCGAGGACAATTACATTGTTCAGAAGTGGTCATTTGCAAAGAATGCGAAGGATTGTATTGTTAAGCATTTTTTCCATATTTTGTCACAGGAGTGGCTTAGCATATTCCACATTGTCCCAAAGGAGGGCACAGTTGTGTTTTTTGATTTATTTTGCATTGGGGCATATTTTTGCTCACTCTTTTCTTTTCCTTAATGTCTCTGGAATGCAGTTATGGAAGAATGGCTCACATTATGTCAAGCACTGTAGGCTAGAGGCAAAGAGTTCCTTGCGCACATCAGTCCCAAAGATCAGCAGAACAACCCCTAACAGTGTCCTTCAAACTGCTATTTCTTTGCTCACACGGATCGCTGTGCTGGTCAGTCACTCAAGTGCAAAGCTTTGAAAAATTACTTTTCCAAATTACTTTTTAATGTTTCTGACTCCCAGAATCTCTCAGACAGTATAGAAGATCCTCTGCAGTGCAAATGCCACCCCCCCTCAACACACAAAAGCCCAGCTACGTGCCGAGAACACTTGGAACAGCCCTTGGAATTCTGCCCCTATATACTGTATAAATTGTATAAATCATAGACTCCTTCAGGGTGTGTCATAAGAACTGCACAAAACAAATCCAGCTGACTTGAGCAAGCTAACTAGGATCATGCTATGCGATAAAGCAGTAAAAAACTATCCAGGGACAGTAACATGAGTCATGGCTTCAGACCAAAATATATATTTTTAAAAAGGACAACTCTCGAAAGCTGTGTGGAAATGGTACATGTAAGCAGCCACAGTGCTCCGCTTGTGAGGGAGTTTCCAATCCATGAGGTAAATGACGCTGATGACAGGATTTGCAGTCCATTACACACATGACACAGGACTTCTGTGACTGGAGACTAGATGGTGTAGTGGCTAGAATGTTGAACTACTAATGGGGAGATCCAGGTTTAGATCTCCATTCAGCCATGACACTCGCTAAGGGACCATGGGCCACCCACTGCCTTTCAAGTCAATCTACATCACATACTTATTGTGAAGATAAAGTGATATCAGAAAGAACTCCATACTTTATCTTGTTTATCTTGAACTTCTTTAAGGAAAGGGAAGATATAAATCTAACACACACACACACCTTTTTTATTTTATAAAGAGCTCTGTGGTGAATCCAAGATAGAGAGGAGAGAAAGTCTCACCTGCACACCTCTCACGCCTGGCTCCTCAGTGGTAAAATGTGCAAGGATACAGAATTATGCTTACAGGTTTTACCACGAGAAGTAAATGCACTGTCATTTTATCTCCTCTGCTGGTCTGAGTCAGACCTCGCCCCAAAACGTACTCACACAAGGTGACTTATGGATGAGGTAAGGCCCTGCTTATCCTATCCTTCCCTCATACAACTCAGAATTAGCCATTTGCTGCAGTTTTCTCTG